CTGTCACTGTGCCTGCAACACAGCTCAACTCCCTCCCCCACCCCCACCCCCCATTCTTGCTTCCACTGTCTTTCTCCAACCATGGTTAATGTCAAGGCCACTCTGTATAAACCTCTGAACAGCAAGCTTCATTTCAGAACATGCTTCCTAGGTAACCTAACCTGTCATGGTAACACCACAAATGGCCAGGGAAAGCAGCTCAGAAGATGAGGCTTTGGAGCTGGTCACTTGCTGCTGGGGTGGTCGTGATGATCCTGCTACCACAGAGGGCACGTGTGCATGCATGATAGAGGCAAGGGCAGGTCAAGCACAGAAAACCCCTGGAACAAAGTGACAGGACGAGTATTCAAACTCTCAGCAGAGGTGGGCTGGGATGTTATACCAGTGGAAGAAAACACATCAGCTGGAATGATATTACTATTTCAAATGTTTAAGAAACAAGGAAAAAGTAATAACTGTTAAAGACAACAGAAAGAAATCACAAAAGGATGAGGCAAGTCACTGCCAATGTGAAAGCCAGAGGTCCTCCCTTGCAGATACAAAGATACTGTCAGATTCTACAGCTCCTAGGCAGAGAAAGCGGATGAACAGAACCCAGGGTTCATCATCAGAGTAATCAAACTCCAAAACTCTTGAGAAAACCAAATTTTCTAGGTCAGGATCCTGGCTGGAAAAACACCTGCCATAGGGATGGAATGTCGTGATGTCTTCCAAAATCCTGAATCCAGATTCCCCAGAATTTCCTGACCTCACAAAAATGACTTTCCCCTTCTTTCTTGGGGCAAATGAGGATGGTGACTACTTTTCCATAAGACAATCTGTGTTCCCCTGATCTCCATTTACCTCTGTCTCTCCTACATACCCCTAGGCCTATAGCTAGGGTTATATCACAGGATAACCCACCTGGGACATACAGGAGGAAAGGGACACTCTTTACCAAAGCCATAAGGAATATGCTAGTGAGAAGGACTGACATTCTCAAGAAGTTCAGTGGTGGTCTCCTCTGAAGGCCAGAATGACAGAAGAGAAGGCCAATATTTGAGGAGATTTTAGAAAGTTTGTGGATGGACCCTCTTGTAGCACGGTGGTTAATAGCTATGCAGAGGAAGCCAGATCCCATATGGCCTACTAGGGATCAAGTCCTAGTCCTGGCAGCTTACATGACAGGTGTGCATGACCACACTCAGGATCCTGGTAGGATGGAGAATTGAAGGAAAGAGTTAAAATGTGATCAGGACCTGATGGGGAGATGCTTTCTCTCTTTCCTCTCTCTTGTGCGTGCACATGTACACTGTGGTATAATAATAAAAAGTTTGTGGGAAAAGGGACTTAAAGTACACATTTATTTTGGTGCAAAAATAATTTAAATCCATGCATAACTCTTTTGTAATATTCATTTTCCATGAACTTTAAAACATTCTTGTATCACTATTATACATTCATTGATGTGAATGAGGATAACAGAACCAGGTAAGGATACTGAACCATCAGAAGACAGATGAGAATAAATGTTTTAAGAGTGGCAATAGGACCAGCAGATGATGGCATAATGCTTACATTGCTGGACTCCCACGTGGCCTACCATGGTTCAAGTCCCTAACTGGAGGATTGAAATTCACACCAGGCACATGTGTATGCATGTCCAAAATCCTGAGAGGAAAATGGAAGAGAAGGGACTTTGGCGTGGCCATCCTCCCCAGGGGGTGATTTTTTTCCTTCTGTCTCTGTCTCTCTCTGGTGAGCACATGAACCCTATAGCAAAAAATTCTTAAAAAAAAAAAAGAGTGGCAAAAGTGGTGTTGCTAACTAAATTTGACCCACGAATTTAGTTAATAGAATGTTACATCCTTAGTGGCAAAAGATCAGGTTCTCAGAAAAGTCATGCCATATTTTTCTATGTTTTTCTATGCAAAAATGCATCATGATTTTTCCGACAACCCAATAGATAGCTAAGAAGGCTACCATTCAATAAGTACCATGGAAATAAATAAAATATGAATGACTACAACATTGAGGGTAGTTGATTCAATGAAATCACAATCTCTTGCTCAGTTTCTGAATTTGAGCTAATTTTTAGACCAGAACCCATAGATTGAAAAAGAGATATAATTTCCAGAAGAGAGGACCTTGTAACACTGTAATAAAATACAGGATAATAATCTCCTCAATTCTTCTCCAAAGGGACCTCCAGTCCTCTATTTAGGTAACTATGCACTAAGGAAAAAAATACCCAAATATTTTGAAGACTACTGGTCACAGAATTAACAGTAATACCTGGAGACCTGAAGCGTCAACATTCTATTATATACTTCTTTTTCCCTCTTGTGAAAGGAGAAGCATATGGAAGGCCAGTAATAAGTGGAGCCTGTTAAGGTCTAGCTTATACTGGGTCCATTGGGAACCACAGAACCACCTGGGGGTGATTCCTCAGACTCTGACCGTATCATCGGAATGGACAGACTTGGCCAGTACCACATCATCAAGTTCTTGGCCTCTTTGGTAAGAGCTATTATTGTGGAAAAAAGCCAAGAGGAAAGATCTGAAGTTCTTCAACCCAATCCTATCAAGATAGTAAATAAGAAAACCAACACAGTACTGGGGGAGGAGGAAGGTGACTGGCAGAAATCAGTGTTCCCTTAGGATCTAAATGGCTTGCAGGAGTGTTCTCAAATAAATTATCCGAAGCTTTTAGTGGCTGTGATAAGCTGTTTCAGCAACTACTTCGGCTGCAAAGAGTCACTTTACCATAGAGCATAACGTATGCTCTTTCTCAGGGTGACCCACATTCAATGACTCATTGATATAGCTATCGCTTCTATGTTGCAATACAATTTTCCCTTAATCTCCTACTTCTGTCCCTTTCTTTCCAAAGTGCTTAATACTAAGGATGTTCCTTAATAAATTCCATTTCGGAGTCTAATCCCTGGAAAACCTACAATCATCATTTCCCACAGTGACTTTAAACTATGTTTTCTCTTTAAATAATCTTGAGTTTATTTTCAGGACTATATCCCAATTTAATTGGGTAGCACTATATTTCACTTTCAGACAACTTCTCAAAGCAGTGCCATACCAGGAAGTATTTTTATAATCTTTGGCATTTTTCTCAAGGAAGAGCCCAGAAATGCAATGCCTGGTTTGGAGGCACACTCTACATTTACAATGATTATTGACTCTCATCAATCCCAATTTCTTTATCAATGATCTTATGTAACCCCTCAATTAAATGTATTTTTAAAAACAACAATAGTTCTTCTTATTCTGGATAGATACAGAACATTCAAAATGATCTCGTATCTCTTTTTTTCCCCAGAAATATTTTCATTGATTATAAACAATAATTTCTTCTCTCTTCATTTCATCAGCACCTAAGTACTCCTAATTTGTTTACCAGCTTCTTTTAAATATGTTGAAACTGTCTTATTTAAATAGACTTCAGATCTATAACTATACAGTAAAACAAAATATGTTGGAAACTTCATTTACTTTTCTTTTATATGGCCTCATAGTACTACCTATATAATCCCTTGATTAATGTAATAGATAATTTCAAAACCTTACGTAAGAGTCTTAAAAGGCATTTAAAATTAAATGTGAAAAACTACTAGAAATTAACTGCATTACACAAACTTCAAAATTGTAGTTTATTGATTATTTCTATAAGTACAGCTTAATCAAATTTAAAAGTAAATAAATAAATAAATAAATGAGCACTGCTTTTAAAAAGTAGTCCATACTCTGCACTAACACTTTACTACTGAGAAATCCAATATATTCTAAATTTCGTGCAAGTTGATGAAAGTGCTATCTGTTATTGAATGCAACTTCTTTAAAACAGTATAATAAAAAGAAACCAGAAGTACATTTCTAGTTACAGTTGATCCTAATGATGAGTTTATTTCTAAGAAAAACCAAAGCAATATATATGTTTTTAAATAGTCCCTGGTTTCTGTGACTATCTAGTAACAAAGGGGATGACTATCAGTATGAAAAAATTCTCTTACAATATATTACTAAATTATAGTGGAAATCCTTTTTTGGAGGGAAAAACAGAAAATTTTACAGTAGGATTTGGCTCACTATGAAATGCTAACTAGAATAGCTGAAAATATAGTATTGCATTTTAATCAAATTCTATAGATTTAATCAGAGATTTATGGATTCTGAGTGGATGCCCTGCTTCTGGCTCCATTTTGGCCCCGAGGATCATCCCAACTCATGTTCAACCCCCATCTCTTCCTCTATTTTTCATACCATGAAAGGGTCAGATATGAACCCAGTCATGAAGATGATGAAAGAGTAGATTTTATAAGCAGCTAGGAAAATAAAAAGTAGATTACTAATAAACATAAATTTGCTCAGATAGCTACTAGCCAGTGCTCATTCACCATAATCATGTAGTTCAACTGTCATAGGTCCTAAAGATTCCTGTCAAACATGTATCTTCAGGACTAGCAACAGAAATAACCTTTCCTGAGACAGACACATGACATTATCATTTGGACACTAACAGTTATGAAGAGGGGGAGAGAGAGACAGATGAATAGACAAATAATACATGTATACATATTATGAATTCAGTTATTTAATTATTGAACCATATGGCATCAAACTTAGAATTTTTTTTCTTTTTTTCTTTTTTTTGGAGAGGTTTTCGCTATAGGGCGTGTGCGCTCGCCAGACAGACAGAGAGAGACAGAGAGACAGAAAGAGAGAAATCACCCCCCAGGGGGGATGGTCATGTCGCAATCCCTTCTCCTCCATTCTCCCCTCAGGATCTTGGGCACGCATGCACACACGCCCAGCGTGAGTTTTAAGCCACTGGGTCTGGGACGCGAACCACGGTCGACTACGTGGGAGTCCAGCGACATAGCCATTATGTTAACTGCTGGTTCCCCAAACTTAGAATTTTTAACAGTTTATTATATTATTATTTATTATGGTACTTTTAGATTTTAGAAATTCAATTCAAATATAAATAAAATAAAAATTATACATACTTGGATGAAACTGCCTCCATGAATTCATCCAAAAAATCATCATATTCTGGACCTCTTACTCTTCTCTGCCGTAGTCCAATATACAGTGGGTCTTTAAGTAACTCCTATAAAAAAAAGTTACCAAAAATTAGAAATAATTATAAATAAAACATTTACTTTCTGAGCCTGTTTCCTCATCTATAGAAACCACAGAAACAAAAATAAAATCATGTCATATTGATTTAAAATTAATGTACAGAGTTATTATTTAATGTTATATGGAATATATTTACAGTATTTATATGTCAAATAAGAAAAATAATTACTAAATGTTAAAAACATTCTGGGTTATTATACAGGAAAGAAAAGTAATTGTTCAGTGGTACTAATAAGAAAAGCTCAATTAAAATTTTACACATAAAGTTTATTACACAAAAAAAATCATATTGAGTTTTGAAGTACCTCAGGGAGCAGAGAGGTCATATTCTCTTTTTTGGATTTATTTTCCATTTCTAAAAGCATAGTCTTCAAGTAACATTTTGGTTATACTTAAATATGATAATTGACTTTAAAAAGACATTTTAAAAGTTTTACTCCATTTTTCTTAAACTTTTAAAATTTTAAACAGGTTATTTCTTTTTATTTTTTATTTTAGAGAGAAAGATTATTGCCATAGGGCACATGCACTCACCAAGAGACAGAGAAACAGAAAGCAAGAAATCACCCCCCAGGGGGATGGCCATGCTGCAATCCCTTCTCTTCCATTCTCCTCTTGGGATTTTGGGCACACACACACATGCACCCATCATGAGTTTTAAGCCACTGGGTCCACGACTTGAACCACAGTCAATTATGTGAGAGTACAGTAATGTAACCATTATGCCACCTGCTGGTCCCAGATTAAGCTGTTTCTTAAACTGATATATCTGAGCCAGCACTGTTTTGTTCAAGTTTAGTACAAAGAATATGTACTAAATATGTACATATAATATGTACTAAATATGTACATATAATATGTAATAATGTGATATTATTTTTCATTAAATCAATTTTATTTATGATAGAAAGGCAGAAAAGAGAAAAATTCAGAAAGAAGCACTCTCAACAGGATCCCATTATGCTGCAACCTCTCTTCCCTGGCCTTCTGGCCCTTCAGGGTCTTGGGCATTCATGCCTTTGTCCAGTGTGTTTTCAGTCCAACAGAGGGATCTGAACCCATTTGGCCATGTAGCCTCCAGCATTGCACTTCAGTTTGCAACTGTCTATGTCACTAGGCTGGGTCTTTTTACTAAGACAGTTTTTAAGTGAGGTGTAATTTATACATAGTAAATGAAAGGAACTTCCTCAATCCAATAAAGAATATCTGTGAAAAACCCACGGCTAACATCATAATTTAAAAAACTGAATGCCATCCCCTTAAGAGAGGGAGCAAGGCAAAGATAGTTCCCCTCATTACCACTGTTCAACCATAAACGTTCTTTCTTTTTTTGGTTTTAATTTTGCTATAAGGTACACCAGAGAGAGACACAGAGAGAAAGTAAGAAAGCACCCATGAGTGGGCAAGGCCACACTGCATTCCCTTCATTGTCTTCTTGGGATCTTGGCCATGCATGTACACGCAACTTGTGTGTTTTTCAAGCCTCCAGGTGTAGGACTTGAATCATACAATCAGCCATGTGGGATTAAGCAGCCTTAACCACTTTACCACAGGCTGTTCCTAAGCTTCCTTTTTCTAAGACAAACAAAGGAGTAGAGAACAGAAAAGGAAGAAACATTGTTTTTTTTTTTTTAACTATAATCACTAGACAATACTAAGGCATCTTATTTAAAAAAAAAAAAACTAGAAAATATATGGGAATTTAACATGTATATACTATATATACAAATCAAATGTATCTCTCTACATTCATCATGCATAGTTGAAATGAACTAAAATACATAGCTTCTTTTATAACAGTATTTCACAATATGAAATGCATAGGAACATATTTCACAAAGCATAAACATGTAAAAGGCTTTTTAATTTGGAATCCTTGGGTGGAAATAAGCATACTGCTGAAAGAAATTTTAAAAGACTTAAGCTGGCTGGGAACCAGCAGTTAGCGTAATGACTATGTTGCTGGACTCCCACGTAGTCGACCACGGTTCACGTTCCGGACCTGGTGGCTTAAAACTCACGCCGGGCGCGTGTGCGTATGTGCCCAAGATCCCAAGAGGAGAATGGAGGAGAAGGGATTGTGGCGTGGCCATCCCCTCTGGGATGTGATTTCTCGCTTTCTGTCTCTCTGTCTGTCTCTGTCTGTCTGGTGAGCACACGTGCCCTATAGCGAAAACCTCTCAAAAAAATAAAAATAAAAATAAATTTAAAAAGACTTAAGCTGGTTTTGTAGGTCATGGGGGAAAAAAAAAGTCAAGCCATCGGGGGAAAAAAAAGTCAAGACATCATAGTGAAACAATTGACCAAACTATCAATAAATTGGCATAGAGAAAAATCTACTTAGAATGTCATAGGTTCTAAACTGTCATTGTTCTACCTAACGATGTATGACTCTGCTAAAAAGATTTCCAGGCAGAGCATTAAACCAGCTTCTAATGCTGTATGATAAGGTGTAAAATAGAGAAGGGCTAAAGAAGGAAATGTCAGTCTGTAAGCAAAATTTCAAGGGAATATAGTGAACACAGTACTTGCTGGTAACAGATTTCCAAAGTAGATTATGGTCTACAGTTAAAGATCAAATTAAATGTGTAGTTATGATGACTATTTTTATAAACCTGAGTGATTTAAAATGCAGCCTAACAGACCACCTCAGCTACACAAAAGAACTGGTCCATATAGCATTCTAACATGCCAATCAAGGCAGAAAGATCTGTTTTGAAAAAAATTGTAAATGGGGACTTTGTCTAATGGAGTAGAGTTTAATCTGATACATAGAAAGCCTAAAGAGTTTTTAAGGGGTACTAACTTGGATTAATTAGGACAGAGACACTTAAAAATGTAAATATTTCTCTGGGTCTCCAATTTCCAGAGGCAGGAAGCAGACTGACAAAGTTAACTGCGAAAACAAACCATTTTTCATAGAAAAGAAAAGATAGCTCAGGGCAGAATCAAAAGTCTAACAATGAACAACAGAATCACTCTGAGGAACAGAACTGGACCTTATTCAAAAAATATTTCTTACTACCCAAATAGGTGGCCTGGCAATGTGTCCGTTGGGAATCCCAAATTGCTATGGACCAGGCAGAACCACATGATTTTTATTCCTCTAACTTTGAATGGGAATGCTGATTGTGGTTATTCTATCTCTGCCTTACCACTGCACAATTGGTGGAAACATGTAAAAAAAGCCACGCCAGGGAGTAAAACCTAAGAAGCCCTATTTGTATCTAGAACTAATTTATTGATAAATGACAGATCTTGAACTTTGGTCTTACTGATATAAAACTTTTGGAATCCTAGGATAGAAATGAGCATTTTTTACATGTGAACCATTTGTGAAGAATGGCAACCTACATGGAGTAAGGCTAGTTGTCCCAGACATCCCAGCCTTCCTAGTCATCCTAGTCCAAATTGCTAACCTATGGTAAATATTAATGAAACTAATTGTTTTAAGCCATTGAGTTTGGTGATGGCTTGTTATAGATGAGTTTTTGTTTGCTTGTTTGTTTGTTTGGCAAGTGTAGTAAGGCTGTTAATAAGGTTAAACTATTTGAATCATATTAAGTAGGGTTTTACCTAAAGCCAACAGAAATAATATACCCATTGTCCTAGTGTCATTATTAACAGCACCTTCTTCCCATGTGAGTGTCTTAGTTTGGCCAATACATCTTACTTATAATGTACTGCACAGTAAGTTAACGTTTTCTGGCTAGCTAGAACTTAAAATGTTAAATCATACAAATGTAGTTCAGATGAAATATGAAACCCAATGCTATTGTAAAGCCCAGCTGTTCTTTAAGGCATAAAAACTTTAAACACTCCATTGGCAGGCTTCTGAGCAGCTGAAGTTGAAGTGCCAATGTGCTACTAACGGTTGCCAGAATTAAAATACTTTCTCCATGTCTGGAATATATTTGGATTTCTAAAATGTGAATTAGAAAAAGAAAACAATTGAGAAAATCTGTCACATTTCCCTTTATCTTTCCTTCCATTCTTTCCCAGACTAATAATTAAAGTATACAACACAAAGAAATCAGACTACAACACAGAGTCAATTACGAAGTTTATGAACACAATAGAACTTTTAAATTAAATCAGAAAGTTATAAAATTCTTCCAACCATAATAATGCTCTTGTCAAAAATTCTGCTTTTTAAAATATAATTTTAATTAAGAAAATTACGATAATTAAACTTTCAATAATGAGTTCATTCTTGGAGATTTGGCTGACAAGAAAATTAATATCTATGAAAAGCAATTTAACAAGATTACTCAGTGTTTCCAAAAACCAATTATCCTGACACAGAAATGACATTAATTCACTGGATTAAAAACTTCTGGGTCACCAGGTGGTGGCACAGTGATGGCACAGCTGAACCCACATGGGAAAGGTCCTGGGTTTATGACCTAGAAACACCCTGAGCATGCACACGAGTGTGTCCATAGTCCAGATCAGCTGAGGAGACTAAGGGTGGAGCATGGTGTGCTGGGGGTACTGTTCCCCCTCAAAGTAATAAATAAAACCTTAAAAAAATTAAAATACTTCTGTGGCCTAGTGTAAATACTTCCGTGGCTCAGTGGATCTTTGTTGTTGAATAAATCAATCACATAGTATTAAATAAGAACTTTGAAAAAGTTAGACTTACTTCAGCACTAGGTTTCAAGCTAAGTGCACGTGGTGTCACTGAGACTAATGAAGACTTAGCAGAGAGAAGAAAAAAGATCAGGCGAAAGAAGAGTAAATAACAAAGCATTAACATAAGAGAGCTCAAAAGAGGCGATAAGAACAGTATGTATTGATAAGTATATTAATCACTTCACTTGTAAACACTTATCTCAATTCTGGGTCATTTGGAATTTACATGTGAAACATTTCTTAGAAGCCAAGAGTAATTATTATCAACACTGTTCTTATCTCTAAAATTTCTACCTTTCTAATCTGAAGTTTCTGAGATTTAAAATATATTTG